GAACTTGATGGATTAGAAATATGTGATACAATGTCAATTTTGTTTCCAGTTCTCTCTAATTAGTTTATCAAAAGTGATCTATCGCGTTAGTTATATGTGGAAATAGTTATCACCTTTCCTTTTGGATAAATTTTAAGGATAATAGAATAGAGGAATTTTCATTTAATCCAAATCCAGATTATGATAACAATTCAACTATTTTGTGGGATTTGAATTTTGTAGTAACGTAGTTCGTCAAATAGACCAGAATAATGGGTGTTTTTAACTTTGCTAATCTGTCACTTCATTGGAAAAGTCATGCCCACTTGCCAAACTTAGGACCGGAAAATGTTGACCTCCGAAAATGACCGACAAGTGTCATTGGAAGACAGTGTACGTGTGGACATATTTTTGCAATATATGGGTTGTAAATACGTATATTTGTGGATGAAGAAGAAGAAGAACAAATAAGAGATTCAATGGCTTGAAATGTATGGAGATTTAACCCCTATTTGGCCCCCATTTTTTGAAAATGAAATTGATTGGAATAGTATTTTTTTTGAAAAATGAGTGGTAGAAAAAGAAAGAAATTTTTTTGATTTACGTATAATATTATTGTATGGAAGATTGTGTGGTTGAAAATAAGATAAAGAAAAATGGAATGTAATGTAATGGGATGGGCTTATTCTTCCTTCCAAAAATGTGCCAAAAATTAATATACCTGTTACTTATTCATTTTCTCGGGTTTTCTCCCCTTCCTCTCTTTCTATAAATGTGTTTTTTTATTGTTCCATATATCTCTCTTTTCTTTTTCTAAGGGAGGGTATATATAGAGTTTGCGGAAGATGTTGCGACTGTTGGATCCGAACCACGTGCCCCTACCTCCTTCTATACATCATATCCTTTTTACACATGCATTTATTACATTGATAAAGAGTCAACTGCCCTATATTTTTAGGCCAATATTCTTGATACAAGATAAAGTAGACGTCTAATCAGTTTTTCACAAATATTTTCCTCAAGTTGACAGATATGATAGCCTCCTCATCTCTTAGAACTTCCGCCTTGTCTTTCTGAGGCTCGGTAGGTCGCGAATATGAGGACTCCGGCATAAACCCTTCGTCAAGGCTTCGGCATATATATGACTGAGTGGTACTTTGGCTAGAACAAGGACTTCGACTTCTGTAGCTTCCGTAATCTTGTTGCTTCGTCTTTTCATATATTTGGGCCGACTCTTCTAATGTCATTAGTGGGGTTTCCACATATTGCTTTTGATGGCTAACTTAATGCGAGGAGTAAAAGAAAAAACTGATTGTGCAGCGGGTGAATGCATCATCGCATAATGAACTATGGTTATTGTCTTGTGCTTGTTCCTTATTCCGGAAAAGTTCGAGTGGTTCTACATAGTTTTCAAATCCCACATTCACCAAGGCATGATGAACATCTTAAAAAGTGATTGTCTTGCACTTTTCTATTTTACACTACTCATTTGCTTCACGAAAGATGAAGTCAATTATTAGGACTCATCAGTGGATAATTTCTTTTGCATCATATGATATTTTGGTGTGTGGGAAAGATCCCATTCAAGATTCTACAATTTTTAAGAGGTGTATTATTGGGTTCCAACAAATATGTGGTTAATAAATAAATAGTAGTTGCGAATATAATCGAAACTACTGTTCGACTTTGATCGAATAGAAAAAGTAACTTTTTAGTAACTTCTAATTTTATAAATAGTCATCATATGCTTACAGCTAAGACGGTAATATGGTAGATGAAATCTAGACATGAATACTATTGCTATTGTTGAAGGTTACCGTCCATGGTGTAAGAACTAGACCGAAGAAGTACCAAAGAAATAGAAGCTGTCAAATCCTCTAACCCATATTCCATGCTTCATAATACAATGTTACAATAAGCTTTTGCGCCATTTCATATCTTTTGCCTATGTGAGCTTCATACATCTTTCACATCAATGGAGGGACCAAAAAGCTAAAAAATTCACAACTACATCATTTCATCTTTGATTCAACCTTGGGAAGAAAATTTTGGAATCAAGCTTAGGTATTTCGAATAATTTGCATCTTTGGACAAAATATTTGCAACTAATGAAATCGTGTGATCACTTGGGAAGATATTTCTCTCTCTCATTTTCACAAGAAGTTCAACCACTTTTGATGCCTCGTTATGATGGCAAAATCCTTGCATGAGCGTGTTAAAAGAGATCAAATTGGGTGCACAACCTTCCTTTTCCATCTTCAAAAAAAAATATTTGCCTGCTCCATATTTCCATGTTTAGAAAAGCAATGAATCATGATGTTATATGTAATAACGTCCTTATAAGACAACTTCCCAAATAGCTCACAAGCTAAATCGAGCTCTCCTGCTTTACATAATCCATCAAGAACACAATTATATGTTTCAATGCCAAGGTTAACACCAGATCTTTCCAGAGTGTGAATGATCTCCATTGCATCCATGAGGCAATTATTTATGACAAATCCATTCAATAATACATCATAACTAGCAGAATTCGGAATGACTTCATGAAATTTCGTCTTTGCAAAATGTTCTCGTGCTTCCTCAACTCTACCTGCTTTAAATAGACCAATTAACAAAGTGTTAAATGTAATAACATTTGGTTTGTAATCTTTATGTACCATTTCTTTGAAAAGCCTCATAGCCTCTTCCAATTTTTGACACCTACAATACCCGCCAATTAACACGTTGTAGCTTACAACATCTCGCTTATGGCCTTTAGCCTCCATCAAAACAAATAACTCCCTTGCATCATCAATCCTATTATCTAAGCAAAGCCCATTCATCAATATATTATATGTAGCAGAACTTGGCTCTTCACCCCTCTGAATCATCAAGTTTAATAGGCCATTAGCTTCCTTAGTCTTCCCCTCCTTATAAAGTGCATCTATTAAGATATTAAACAATATTACATTAGGCCGAATGCCCTGATCTATCATTTCAATGAAGAACTGCTTTGCCTCATCCCACCCACCAGCCTCGCACAAACCATGAATTAAAGCACTATATGTAAACAAGTCTGGCATAATTCCCCTACCCTTCATCTCCAGAAATAATAGTTTACCTTTCTCCAACAATCCCTCTTTGCAAAGGCCATGAATGAGTGTGCTATAAATAATTAAATTAGGGGTAAATGTTAAACCAAACCTTCCATTACTGCCCCCTACTTCTTTTACTAACTGAAGTGCAATCTCTGTATTTCCACTCTTACATAACCCATTAGTCAAAATAGCCCAAGTTGTAACATCTGGTAGAAACCCCATTTGAACAATTTTATTGAAGAAGGTAACTGTATCATCAATCTTATCTTCCATACACAGCCCTTTAATCAGTGTATTATAGGTAAACATATCAGGACTATATCCCCTCTTTATAATCCCACCCATAACAGCAAAGCCAAGAGCGACCGATTTCAAGCTACAGTAACAGTTGAGCAAGATGTTCAACGTACAAGTATCAGGCAATACGTCAACTTCAACAATCCTCCGGTACATAATAATGACATCTTGATAATTCTTGGTTTTGGCAACAGAGCCTAGCAGTTTGTTAAATGACCATATGGGTGGCATGGGTTTCATTTTGAGCATATTATTATAAAAGCGGGTTAATGCATCATTGGTGTCGATTTTACAGTCTCTTTTGAAATTTTTACGAGGGGTTTCGGTTTCAAATTGAGTCGGGGATTTGGATTTTAGTGTGTGTATAAATGTAGGTGAGAGCTTACATCTCTGGGCAGTTCTGGAAACCATTTCTGCAGCACTGGGCAGCACACAAACATAGATGCACGCACAAATCCAGAAGACGAGAATGGATGCCTGAATGTGAGAATTTAAGTTGAAATACGCTGTGCAATATGATATTCGCTGTGCAATATGCCAATATCATACTTTTAAACACGTCTGAGATATGCCTCCAACCTTTTTTATTGCCACCATTCTCCCAACCTTTAAGAGAATAGGCAGAGTTCGTCTCTATTCCGTCCAATTTGAGATCAAGTAAAATGACAAATTGTTGGCAAAAATAAAATGAATATATATAGTAATGAATTCAAATAGTTAACTAGTTCGAGTGGGCAAGCACTGTCCTTAAGGATAATTCCAATAAAATCGGCTATCCCCAGGATTCAACGAACTGTTCCTCTAACGAGAGGGTGACAGGAACAACAAAGTTCAAATAAGATTATAAACCCAATGTAAATACTAATTGAAACACAAAACAAAATTTTAAGAAAGCAAAGAATAAGAGAGAACATATGAAATGGAGATGAGGTGTGTGTAAAATGAGTGAATAAGTGGCTGTATTTATAGGCCTCAAGGTAAACACTATTGCAATTATTGTGGCCAATATCAGTAAACTGTAAGCCATGTCTTGCAGATTTTGTGCAACCAACAGGAAACAATTAAACGTGCATGTCAAGATTTGGTGTTAAAGACCGCAGCTTTACTTAGCCCCTTGACACTATCGCAGCTGTAATTTGCTCAACTTTGACCGCACATTGTAAATATTAGTTCAATTTTGAGTTGTAATTTTCTTTTTATTGTAATAGTTATTTCAGTTGTAAAATAACTCTGATATTAGTAAACGTTTAGTATGGCTCCTCGTCTTTTAAACGTCTACTCCTATCACTTAGATTTTTATTCCGAATGCTATTAAAAGGGGTATTAGTCATTCAAAAAAATTTCAAGCTCACTGGTGTCCGCCCCTTGTACAAGCAATTGTGATTTTCTGTTTTCTTCAATTGTAATATTCAGTTTTCATCGATCAATGTTTAATTTACTTTCAATGTATTCAAATTCTCTGTTGTAAGCTTTCTACAAAACTGTAATTAATTTTTCTTTCGTCCCAACGCGATCGAGAAAAGGCGGAAAGTAGTCTAGCGGAGTAGACTACTGCCGTACGGGGTGCCTTTCTTTCAGTGTCCCTTTCTGTGCCAAGAAGAAAGGCACCCCATGAAAGTTGGTATCAGAGCTGCGGTTCACGATCGTTGATAAGAAAGTTATAGATCCAATTACATCCCACACCATTAAAGTGGGAGAGCCTCAAAAGAATAGTACTACTAAACAGCGCATGGATGCGCTTGATGAGACAACTACTATGTTGTGATATGCCTTGGAAGGTCTCGAGGAAAAAGTTGAGATGGCAGAATCCGAGATTCATGGATTACACATCCAACTGAATGAAAGCCAAAGGTCTTGCATAGCAATAACAGAAGCTGCTGCAATCATTCCTGATCTGCAGGATGAAATGGAAGCGTTGAGAGCTCAATTACGAGTACTCCAACGTGCGGTGGGCAATGGGCAAGCTCCCGTACCTGAGTATGCTCCTAGACTCAAAATTCCTACGGTGGGGCACGTGATGCAAAAGAAGTCGAAAACTTCTTGTTTGACATGGAATAGTACTTTCTTACAGCTTTGATCGAAGACGAAGCTAGAAAGGTAACCACAGCTACCATGTATCTGGGTGGAGATGCAAAACTATGGTGGCAAACCAAATATGCTGACATTCAGGCCAATAGGGTCCGAATAGATTCTTAGGATCTCCTCAAGGAAGCGATCAGATCGCAGTTTTTCCCTGAAATTGTCGAGTATCAGGCTCAACGGGCACTTCGAGACCTGAAACATTCAAGCTCTATCAGGAAGCATGTGAAATCCTTTTCAGGGCATATACTGAATATTCGAGATATGCCAGAAAAGGATAAACTCTTCACCTTTATGGAAGGGTTGAAACCGTGGACACGCACGGAACTTCAAAGATAAAAAGTTACTGATTTGAGCACGGCCATGGGAGCCGCCGAATGCTTGAGCAACTACCAAACAGAATCTAGAAAAGATAGACCTTCGAGGAGTAATCAAGCAATTGGAGGTGGTAACAGACCCAGTTCGAACCCAAATAGGGAAGAGCGTTACTCTCAGAATAAAGGAGGAGCCTATCAAAGCACCCGTGACTTTCAGAGAAATTATCATAATAGCCGTCGAGGAAATTTTAACAGCAGCAACAGTAACAACTGGAACAAAGGAAAAGCAACGGAGGGCCGAACTGATGCCACTCCCAAATTGATGTGTTTTTTATGCGAAGGACCTCATCTGGTGTTAGAGTATCCTCAGAAGCAGATGGTGAATGCATATTGTCAGCTAGCAAGTGGCGGGTTAAGTTCAAAGCAAGAGGCCCCACAAGCTAATTGTCATAGTGAGACCAACTCCGAAGAGGATAAGGACGTAGTTGGGGCATTTTTACATCGGTACAACATACTGTTGCATCAGGTTGCTAAAAAGGATGACGTCCCATTGAAAGAGGCAAAGATGGAAGAAGCGAATGCTCGAATTTGTAGGGCTAAAGGTTTAATGTATATTGATGTGAAAATCAACAGGAAGCCAATTGGGGCTATGGTAGATACTGGTGCTACCCACAACTACCTTGCATGCACCGAAATAGAGCGACTCGGACTTGTTCTGGAAAAAGGTAGTGGAAAAGTCAAAGCAATCAACTCCGCTACTCAACCAATAGCTGGAGTGGCGAAATCGGTGTTGATCAAAGCAGGTCCTTTCGAGGGAAAGACAAATTTATCTACAGTTCAAATGGATGATTTCAAGCTTATTCTGGGATTGGAATTTTTTCAAGATACTAAGACAGCAGTGTTGCCATATTCCGATTCGTTAATGATGATGGGTAATAAGCCGTATGTCATCCCTACACAAGTTGGGAGGATGGGCGAAAAGAGTATCTCAACCATGCAATTTAGTAAAGGTTTTAAGAGAAATGAACATTCCTTTTTGTGTACTCTTCGATTAGAGGAGATCGAAGAGGGGAATGGTCCTATTCCAAAACCCGTTAAAAGGCTTATTCGAAAATTTGAGGACATCATGCCAGACGAATTACAAAAGAAATTACCACCAAGAAAGACGATTGATCATGAGATTGAACTTATTCCAGGTGTCAAACCTCCCGCCAGGGCACCATACAGTATGTCTCAGCCTGAGCCTGGACTTAAAAACAATCCAATAAAAAAAAACCACATAAATGAGCCTCAAAAAAATGAAAAATAACAAAAGGACCCAATTTTTCAACATCTTCTTCATTCGCCATCCCCAACCACCAAAAGATACCAATTCTAGCGATTCCACTTCATTTATTATGCCAGGCTAACGCCACCTCTGCCCATGTCCAACAATTAAAAAAGTAATTTTCTTCCAACCCCTAATCCCGCCATTGTCATTGATACTAGGCCGTACCTGTGTTTCGTGGGGCCTGAAGTAAATTTCAGAATTTAGACTGCTAATTCATAGCAAGTAATCAATTTTATTTTTTTTAATTTATAAGATTTTTATGGAATTGAATTTGTTAAGTTAAAATCAACAACAAATAAAATAAAATATATATTCAAAATATTTATATTATAATGTTTTAAATGATAACTTTAATACAACTTGTCTTACGATTTAGGGACAAAAAAATCAATCGAATTTGAAAAGTCTAGTTATTCAACCATAAGGCAAATTCATAAGAATGACAATATAAATCAATCGGTGGATAGTACTATATGTTGGGAATCTACTTAACGTACGCAGTAGAAAATTAAAACAGATTTCGATTCCCACCAGAATTCATCTTTGTGTTTAGATAGGAATTGTGATAAAAGTTGTACCTTTTACGAGATCTGCAAACTTTTTGCTTTGATTCTACAAACTCCTTTGCATTCTTTCGTTCCAGCAATCTTGATCTGCCACCTACAGCTGTTCAATTGTCCAACCTCCAACGGTGATCCACACAGAGAACAAGATTGTGGGATTAGGATTTTATTACTTGTGCTAGCAAGAAAAATGAATTTCACTCTCAAATTGTAAACCCTAATAACTTATTTATATAAACCCAAACAGGTTTGGCCTCACCCGATCCAATATTTAATTAACTCATTTAATTAAATCGGGTCCGTGAATTAATTAATATGGGCCTATAAATAAGCAATCCAATTAATTAATTTATCCAATACTTTTCAAATTAATTAATTGATAAATCACAATCTTCAAGTTCTCTTTTGTGTGCGACCCCGATCACGATACCTAACGACATGAAATATTATTTTGATATAATGAAAATTAATAAATTAAAACACCATTTTAATTTATCACCAATTCACACTCGCCGTCTCAGATTAACATCTAGCAATGTGTCAGGGCAATACATGTTACGAAAAATGTCACGTGATATGACAAAATCAAACTCGTTCGTTTATCATGACACTATAATCCCTTCGTCAATATGATCCGATCAATTACGAGATATGAAAGTGTGTCAATCTCAATTATTGATCATATCTTTCACTTCACTTTTAAGTCAATATAAGTCAAAAACTCATTTTCGACTTATGAGTACACCTTGGCCAATTATTTCATTATCGACTTAATTAAATGAAATGCAAATTATAATCTCTTACTATTTAAGAGTGACGAATCCTCTATTGGTCATTCACAATCTTCATACGATTCTTGACATACCTAAACGATGCCGTATTAGTGGCCCTTGATAGAGCAACATTCAATACTGTCAGTATGACTATCCTCATATAAGATACTATGATGACCTCAAGTCAAAAGAACAATCCCACTACCGAACGTTAGAGATTAACCAGCAACCACTGACACTGAGACAGTTATCCATGTGAAATCTGTAGGCGGGTCTCCAATGTTTTATTCTATAACAAAACATCCACGTGTTCATTCAAGCGTCACCACACTTTAGCTTGTGAAATCAGCTACTTACTTCACAAGTAAGAAATGCCACACGTGATGGTCTATCCGTAATAACGATATTCGTATCTCATTATTACTTACGACCATGGATGGTTTAAGATTCAATCATATGTAATTTATATCTCACAATCACAACTCTTTGTGATTAACAAATTACGAAGATTTGAATCTATGGGCTCTATTATTTA